ACCAAACATAATAACTGTTTTCATAGCTGTTGGTGTACCAAAATGATGCATTTCAGCAAAACAGTGGGTTAGTTAATAACATTCTTTAAGAAATCATGCATTCTGTTTTTTACCTCCCTTCCTAAACAAACTAATTCACCTACTTCTGTTTCTGATTTCTTTGCTTACCTTTGGAAGGGCAGTTTGGGCTAGTATAATTGTTTTGCGTGATACTATCTATTGCAAGGTTCCACAAAATGGTGAAGTGATGCTATGTGATGACTGAATATACTGGCAGACTGACTTTTGCCAAAAACATGCAGGTTTTTTCCTCCTGCTTTTTAGGACTTGAATTGTATTTGCTTTTAAGTTCCAGAAAAATTTAATTTTCCCACATACTTGTTTGCAGGATATAGTGAAGTAGACATTCAAAAAACATATTCTTTCTTCATCCCCTCCCCTAAAAATGTTCTTTGAGCAATTTCTTATGCAATACAGAATATTGTGGTTTTACTACATTTGTTTTGATGTTAAACTTACCATAACCATTCTTAGCTATCATTTCTTACAGAAGGAAATATTTTTTCCTGATCATAACTTCTAATGTTTATTTCAATGTTGTGTGCTTTAATGTCTCATAAATATATGACTTCAATAAACAGTTATTTTATAAGCAACTTAAAAAGGAACCATCCATTAATAAATAACCCCAAACTATCATATATTCAGAAACATTCTTGAAAGATGCATTGCAAAATTTTAAATCTGCATATTAGATTTCCAATGTTTAAAACCCACCCAGTATGTAAAATAGGAAACGGTTAGTACTGGCTAATTGCTTATTTGCTAATGCCAAACTTTTGAGCCAAATGTTCAGTAGCCCAACAAGTGTTTCTCACCGGTTTAATTACTACATGTATAACTGTGACTTGATTTCTCTCTGCTTCTCTCTCCTTCATTTTGGAAATACAAAAGCACTCACTTAATGGTTAACCTCACTATCATCTGCGTATTTGAGTCCATAATTCATTTTCAAGTTCTCTGCATACAAGTTGAAAGAAAAACTTCCTGATATGATTTATTTAATGCTATTCACAATAAGTATTAAACAGCAGATTCTTGTTATGTGTGTATACCTGTTATGTGTTCATACCTCCTATGTGTGTATATATGTGTTTATAGTGTAAGACACTGAGGGAGAGCTAAAAGGCAAGGTATTCGCACACAGTGACCAGTGTGTATGAAGCCATTATAGAATCACAGAATCATTAGGGTTGGAAAGGACCTTAAGATCATCTAGTTCCAACCCCCCTGACATGGGCAGGGACACCTCACACTAAATCGTATCACCCAAGGCCTCGTCCAACCTGGTCTTGAGCACTGCCAGGGATGGAGCATTCACAACCTCCCTGGGCAACCCATTCCAGTGCCTCACCACCCTAACAGGATAGAATTTCCTCCTTATATTCAACTTAAACTTCCCCTATTTAAGTTTGAACCCATTGCCCCTTGTCCTGTCACTACAGTCTCTAATGAAGAGTCCCTCTCCAGCATCCCTATAGGCCCCCTTCAGATACTGGAAGGCTGCTATGAGGTCTCCACGCGGCCTTCTCTTCTCCAGGCTGAACAGCCCCAACTTCCTCAGCCTGTCTTCATACGGGAGGTGCTCCAGTCCCCCGATCATCCTTGTGGCCCTTCTCTGGACTTGTTCCAACAGTTCCATGTCCTTTTTATGTTGAGGACACCAGAACTGCACACAATACTCCAGGTGAGGTCTCACAAGAGCAGAGTAGAGGGGCAGGATCACCTCCTTCGACCTGCTGGTCACGCTCCTTTTGATGTAGCCCAGAATGCAGTTGGCTTTCTGGGCTGCAAGCACACACTGAAGCTGGCTCATGTTCATTTTCTCATCAACCAACACCCCCAAGTCCTTCTCCGCAGGGCTGCTCTGAATCTCTTCTCTGCCCAACCTATAGCTGTGCCTGGGATTGCTTCGACCCAGGTGTAGGACCTTGCACTTGGCATGGTTAAACTTCATGAGGTTGGCATCAGCCCACCTCACAAGTGTGTCAAGGTCCCTCTGGATGGCATTCCTTCCCTGCAGCATGTCAACTGAACCACACAGCTTGGTGTCATCAGCAAACTTGCTGAGGGCGCACTCAATCCCACTGTCCATGTCAGCAACAAAGATGTTGAACAAGACCGGTCCCAACACCGATCCCTGAGGGACACCACTCGTTCCTGGTCTCCAGCCGGATGTTGAGCCATTGACCACAACTCTTTGTGTGTGGCCATCCAGCCAGTTCTTTATCCACTGAGTGGTCCATCCATCAAATTGATGCCTCTCCAATTTAGAGCCAAGGATGTTGTGTGGGATAGGGTCGAATGCTTTACACAAGTCCATGTAGATGACTTCATCTGCTCTATCCCTGTCCATCAGTTCTGTAGCCCCATCACAGAAGGCCATCAAATTGGTCAGGCAGGATTTCCCCTTAGTGAAGCCATGCTGGCTGTCACCAAGCACCTTGTTGTCTTTCATGTGCCTTAGCATGCCTTCCAGGAGAGTCTGCTCCAAGATTTTGCCAGGCACAGAGATGAGACTGACTGGTCTGTAATGCCCTGGGTCATCCATTTTCCCCTTCTTGAAAATGGGGGTTATATTTCCCTTTTTCCAGTTGTCAGGAACTTCACCTGACTGCCATGATTTTTCAAATATGATGGCCAGTGGCTTCGCAACTTCATTTGCCAGCTCCTTCAGGACCCATGGATGCATCTCATCAGGACCCACGGACTTGTGCATGTTCAGATTTTTAAGATGGTCTTGAACCAGTTCCTCTCCTACAGTGGGCGCAAGGTCTTAATTCTCACAGTCCCTGCATGTGCCTTCCAAGACTTGGGTGGTTTGGTCAAAGCCTTTGGCAGTGAAGATCGAGGCAAAGACGTCATTCAGAACCTCAGCCTTCTCCAAATCCTGTGTAACAAGTTCTCCCGAGAGCTTCCTGAGGGGGCCTACATTCTCCCTAGTCTGTTTTTTATTTGCTATGTACCTGTAGAATCCCTTCCTGTGATCTTTAATACCTCTAGCTAAGTTTAATTCTAACTGAGCCTTAGCTTTCCTAACCTGGTCTCTAGCTTCCCGGATAACATCCCTGTACTCTTCCCATGCCACCTGGCCTTGCTTCCACTTATTATAAGCCTCTTTTTTCAATTGAATTTTCCTCAGGAGCTCCTTATCCATCCAAGGAGGTCTCCTGGCCCTCCTGCTGCACTTCCTTCTGGTTGGGATGCAACACTCCTGATCTTGTAGCAGGTGATCCTTGAATATCATCCAACAGTCTTGGGCCCCCTGCCCTCTAGGGCTCTATCCCATGGAACCTTCCGAAGCAGGTTCCTGAAGAGGCCAATGTCTGCTCTCCTGAAGTCCAGGGCAGTGAGCTTGCTGCACGCTCTTCTCACTGTCCTGAGGATCTCAAATTCAAGCATCTCATGATCGCTGCATCCAAGGCTGCCCTGGAGTGTCACATTTCCAACGAGCCCTTCCCTGTTGGTGAGCACGAGGTCAAGCATGGCACCTCTCCTTGTCGGCTCCTCTGTTACTTGCACAAGGAAGTTGTCTTCCACACAATTGAGGAACCTCCTGGATTGCTTGTGCCGGGCCGTACCGTCCTTCCAACAGATGTCAGGGTGGTTGAAGTCACCCATGAGAACAAGGGCCTGCGAGCGTGAGGCTTTTCCTATCTGTCTATGGAGTGCTTCATCTGCAGGTTCTCCTTGATCAGGCGGTCTGTAACAGATCCCCACAGTAATGTCTCCCAGAGCTGTTCTCCCTTTAACCCTGACCCACGAACTCTCTGTGGACTGCTCTCCTGTCCCCAGACAGAGTTCCATACTCTCCAGCCTATCCCTAACATAAAGGGCAACTCCCCCTCCCTGTCTGCTGGGCCTGTCTTTCCTAAAAAGCCTGTAACCTTCCATTCCAACACTCCAGTCGTAGCAGTCATCCCACTATGTTTCTGTGATGCCTATTATATCATACCCCCGTAGACGTGCACACATCTCTAATTCCTCTTGTTTGTTCCCCATGCTACGGGCATTTGTATAGAGGCATCTGAGCCGAGCTCCAAATGAATCCGGCTCATTGGCTGGAGCGGCTGGGATATATCTACATTGCTCCGAGCATTTATTATAGGTTCTGGCAACTGACTGGGTGTGTTGGGATGGAATGATGCCCCCCTCCCCGATTGACAAGTTAATTTGATTGTGTAAATCAAATTTGAGCTGACATTAGGAAGTTCAAACACTTTCAGCTATGCTTCAGCCAGAGTAGATATTCTTTAACCAGTAGTTGGACTCAAAATATTTAAAAACTGTCAAATATCTTAAAAGTTTCCTTTATATATAAATATATATAATATACATATATAATATATAAAAGCTATAGCAAATGAGAAACTTTGGCATTAATTGAAAAGAATAAGATAATAAAGAACTTTCTTCTTGAGGGTGACATCTATATTAACTTATCTTTGCAAATCTCCTTTCTGAATTATTCTATATACTTTTTGTGCATCACTGGGAAACTTCATGGTTTTGAGTAGCTATTGCTTATCTCTTCTTTCTTCCTTAGGTTTTGCCCCCTATGTTCCATTTTTCCCTACTTTTATCCATGCTACTTGGATATGTACATGGACACAAATTCAGCATGGATACAAATTCAGCCTCATACCAGGCTGGGGAGGAGGATGGTAGGCCTAAGGGTTTAAACAGACACTGTCTTTTGGAAAAAGATACCATAAATCTTCTCATCATTGAGGTCATTTCTTATATAGGACAGTTATTTCAGTATTCATCATTTTTGGACATAAACTTCTAAGTTTTCATTAAACTTACTACTTAATGTGCTCTGACCCATTACAATAAAAGAGCAGAAACTATGAATAGTAAAATATTTCATTATGTTTTTCTTATATTTCTTGCTGCACAAATGCATTTGCAACATGAAATAACAAGCAGCTCTCCCCTCACTGTCCCAGTAGAGATAAACATTTTTACATGCATTCAAAACGTATTTGGAGTACTGTAATTGGCAGCTTATTTTGGGTCTGATCTATCAAAACCATTGACATTTTGCTATTGATTCCCATGAGAACTCACTTCATCAGTGCTATTGCTGTAATAAAAAGAAGTACTTGTTATGAAGTGGGCTGGCACTAAGCAGGTTTTCATCATCATAACAAATATAAATATGCAGTTTATATGTGTCTCACACAACCTAATCATTGAATCTGTATATTTGAAATAATTGGGAAAACAGGTCAGTGAGTAACTCACAACAATGCTCATGTGTAAGCATTCTTTCCAGTTTATAACCAAGGTTTTCTTCCATAGGTTGCTTAGATGGACTCACTGAACCTGTCATTCTTATTTACTTATCCAATAACATCTTCTTTTAAGAAAGAGTGGATGGATAATTTGGTCTGATTATTGCTTCTGTTTCCATGGCTAATTAGGTCTTGAGTACATTGTGGCTTCTTCTAAATATTGCTATTACTTGATGATGGGAGAGGACTTACATATTAATCAGAACTATAGGTCATCGGCCCCTGTAGTTCTTCATGTCTTTAATTCACTGCTCATAGTTTTTTCCCCTTTCTGGGAATAGGATAGGTCTTCACAGGTGCCTGCTGATAGCAGTCATAAAATAACCTGAAAAGAAGCATTAGAGAGGAAACTATAAATGGTCTGAATGCACTCCTAACTTAATAAAGCAGTCAGTTGCTACGCAAGAGAGCAAAAATAGGACCACAGTACCACAGATCTTCACAGGACTTGTCCTGTGGAATGATTATAGTTCTTGTGCCAAGTATCAATGACTTCCAGAGCATGGGTTCTATCATTACAAGCCTTGTACTTCAGAAATCAGAACTGAGACTTGAGTCAGATGAGTCTGTATCTTCTCAGAAAGGTGAGAGCATATACTAGGTGAATAAGTATAATTTGCTTTAACTTTTCTTTTTCAGCTTTACTTTCTGAAAGGAACATAGTAGCTGATCTAGAAATGCACACAATGTTGAGCAATAGAACCTATTACAATGGGCATTGAGTCCATAACATCTTCTTTCTCTCAATTTAGAAGTCTTTAAATTATGCCCATGGTACTGCCTTTGAAATAGCCTCATTATGTGCTATGTGATACTATCTCTTTAAGAAGAGTTTTGGGAACCTTTCTTAAGGAAAAGTAGGTTTCCATTGATATAAAAAATGTCACTTAATTCTTTAAAATATTTATTAAGTCCGTGTGATAGAATATTACAGTCATAGGCTCCCAGTACCGATAACACCTTCTGTACTAGCAGTTCCCAGACTAATATGCAAACTTCAGAGTTCAAGTATTCAAGGTGACCATCTCTTACAGAGAACTAGATATTTTAGTAAAATATATCAAGCTTTTATAAAGCCATTCATCTGAGAAGTCTTGTGTTCTTTGTTGCCTCACATTCCTCTTCTCTGTCTTCCATCACTGTGGCTACAGGTCAAGCAGGATCAGCGAGATGATCCAGCAGATTAATCTGCTAAAACTATCACTATTTTTTCTGTTGGATCAGTGAGCTGCTCTGACTCCCCCTAAAACTGCTGGTCATTGGAAAAGGGAAACAATGACCAACTGAAGGAGCTGGAGACTTGTGGTTAGATCAGTGTAAGATGAAATTGCACCTTGGTCAGGACCCTGAATATCTATCTAGATAGGCACAGAGCAAGTGCAAAACATGTACTCTTGGCTAAGACCTTTTATCTCCACAGAAAATGGAGATGTCTTCCATGACTGGCAAATTATGTTGCCATGCCTCTAATGACTTCCATCTGTTGATGGATTCCTATTCCTGGCTATTCATTACTGGGCTATAATTATTGCCCCTTCCAGACTTTCAAAGTTGAGGAAAAGGTACACAAGATGGGAGAAGCTGTCTGTGCAGCAGAATGTCTTGGAGGGAGCATTCATTGACTAATCATTTACATTTCTTTTGTGCATCCTACTGACATCAACACAGCAATTCATTTTGCTTCTACTGCACCATTATATGTAAGAAGTGGGGAATGGCTAGGTGTTTCCAAATTGCCTGTCAACCTTTTAATTTGTAGCTGTTGTATTTTGTTAATGGCTAAGTAACCTGCTGTGAACTTTCCTCATTAAAATGGCTTGTAACACAGGCAGCAGACAGTATTACTTGAATTTACACCTTTCATTTCAAGGCTATGTCAGAAAAAAAGGATTTGCCTGTTTTCTGTTAACTAGGATGCTAGCCTTTTGCATGCTAACATATTGTACTCTGCATTCAGACAAAATTTCATATGAACCTAAGAAACAGCATCTTTCAGAAACAACAGGAGAATAATGCTGGAAGTCAGTTTGTTTTCTGGCCAAAAATCCTGTTGATAGTTACTTTAGTATATCCAGAACTGTGTCTGGTATTGCTAACTTTTTATAGGCAGCATGGATAGTTGAGCTTTTCAGAAACAACTGGTAAAATGTGTTGCCTTTATTTTTGTATAGCTCCCTTAAAATGAATTTTAAAGCAGTGTCAACTCCACCTCTAAAGTGTTCTAATGTTGCCACCTGTGAGCATTAGTTCTTTTTAAGTATTTTTTCCTCTTAACAATTTTTTTGTTTGTTCATAAGAATGAAAATACCCGTGTTTTTCACGTGACTTCTAAATGTGAAAATTTACTGTCATTAGGCTGCAAAGACAGTTTTCTTGTCAAGCAAAAGCATTCATTTGTGAATAAAATTTGTTTAATCTGTAATTCCTTGCCCTTACTAACAAAAAGGACTTTTAATTCTTCTCTGCAATTACGCTATAAACTTCTCTAGGATTATTCGTATTTGTCCACCTGGTATTTGCAGCCAAAGCCCTCTCTTGACACTAGGCCCAGAATTCCCTTTTTTGCTTTAAATATTGGAGCTCAGTTAACTTTTCCCGTCACAGTGCACATCTAACACAGTACAAAATGATTCTCACTTTTCAATATAGACTCCACAGTTATATGCTTGGGACCATAGATATAATGAGAGATCTTTGCTACACATCCTTTGCAGACAGGAGGGGTTTTGGAATTCTGTTTTACAGACCGGGCAACGAGAATGGACACTGTTCTTTCTGTTCAGGCTGTAGCACTGTGCAGCAAATACTGAGAGAGGGGAGTAGCGGGCATGGCAGTAGCTTTGTATCAAACATTTTCCAGTGAAAGAGGGGTTTCCTGGCTTTCAGTTCCTATTGCTAGGGCAGTTCTTTACCATGCCCAGTGACTGTTTACTGTAAAATCCCTTAAAAGATGGATGAATAATTTACAGCATATAGAGCATTGAAGGGGGAAGCAAGGATTGTGGGTAAAGGGGAAGTAAGAGAGAGCAGAAATTTGGAGGCAGATGATTTTTGCCACTGGTAAGTACTGGAAGTGTGTCTGATGTCATGTGATTCACAAAGAGTAATAGCTCAGGATATTAATAAAGTATTACCTAATCAAACAAGTGCATAATAATCCTCAAAGGTCTTATATCATTCATAATGCTCAGGCTGGTAAAAATAAAATAAAATAAAATAAAATAAAATAAAATAAAATAAAATAAAATAAAATAAAATAAAATAAAATAAAATAAAATAAAATAAAATAAAATAAAATAAAAATTATGAGCATTGTCCCTTAATCCTGAAGACCTTTTTATAATGAATCTAGCATCTCTAGATGTTCTACTGAAAATGACCCTAGCAAGATTTGAATATGATTGATTCCACAAGGAATTATTTAGCTAAAATACATGTAGCTACTGAATTTTAATTGCTTTCTTCACTTTTCATTTTAATAACTTTCTAACATATCTGTGGAAAATTACGACTTTTATAAACTTTTAAACATAAAGACAAGATGACCAGGCTAAACCAACCAATATTCCCTCTTCTGTTTCCTCCAATTCAATGATCTTAGCGGTCTTTTCCAACCTAAACAATTCTATGATTCAACACAAAAATGGCAGCATAACTGACTGCAGTTTGGCACAACGCGGGCACTCAGAGGTAAATCAGCTTCACCCTGCCTTGTGACGTCTCTGATTCTGGTCTTAACCTGCCCTTCAGCAGAGCAAAACTGCTTCTGTGGTATCTCTCTTGCACCCAGAGGAAGAGAGACAGAGATCTAGAAAAGAAAAGAAGGTATATGTTTAGGAGAAGCCATGAAAGCTGAGTATCCACAAGGAGATCTTGTAAAAATAGAGAGGTGTTTTTGCTTACACTTTTGTGTTCATATGGAACAGAGCTACCCAGAACGGGGCAGTAGCTTTAGCCTGCCTTTAAATTAAAATTCATTCTCCCAAGGGAATATCAAAATGTTCTGAGGATTACAAGGAATGTATTCGTTTCTTCTGTGTCAACAAATAGGTATAATTTTTAGTTTTATGGCACCAAGTAGGTTTTTTTAGTAGTCTTAGTTCAGTGAACAAAATTAGCATTAAGCACATGGTAAAGGCCAACAAATTATGTAGTATTTTAATACAATAAGGTTTTAAATTGGAAACATCCTTTTAGATTGAGTGTATGAAAGAGGCTGATCTCAGAAAATGTCTTGCAAGCAATGAGGGCTTTGCAACAGATTTTCATGTAACACTCTCACTTCCCTTCCCCACTCCCACCCAAATCCCCCATCTCACCACTTTTCTGCAGAGAAATAGCGGAAGAGATAGCCAGCTATTAATACAGTGAGAAGAGATGCCAACGCAACTATTAATTTCTGTTAGCTAGATAATAAAACTTATTTTTTCATTTCAGCGATGAGGCCACAATAGGAGCCCCTGTATGTAACAAGGTACATGCAGACTAGGTTTTGGTGATATGTCAGAATATTCATTAGGCATAGTGAGGAAAGGAATTCTGTCTTGGGATGTGTTCAGGCATCACTGAATAACCCGGAGAAATGATCAGAGCTACATTACCAAATATTAAAGTTTGAGCAGTTATAACTGAATATGGGAAAGTCAGTAATCTTTGATGATTTAGAATGTTTGAATGCCTCACACTAGAACTGTTTCACATAATCTTCTAATTAGCAGTCTTGTTGGCTCTTCTGAGAAAATTTAAATAGCCTGAAGATTTCTGATGAGAGTGAGCATTATAAACATGAAAAAAAGAAAATCCAGGATATTTCAGCTGATGCTGCAATACAGAAAGCCTAGTTCAAACAATGAGTTATTAACTACTGAAAATTAATAACTTTCAGATACCTTCAAAATTTTCCTTTTTAAAAAAGCTTATCTTAAACTTTTTTTGTTGGTATAAAACCCTATAGGAACTTAAATACTTTAGATTGTTTTAAGCGTTAGAGGTGCATTACAGACAGGCAGAATTAGGCTTTTGAATCTAAACCTAACAACTGCCTTTAGAGCCAGTAGAAAAAAAGAGGGGTCTCCCATGCTCAAAATCTGTGTTGGGCAAATGCCTCTGCTACAGGGTGTTGAATAACACTGTGAAGGTCCCTGTTAACTGAAATTGTGACAATTCGTATCAAGGCAACTTTGTCATGAATGGGATCTGTCCAACAAATCCACTGATCATTTCTAGGTTTTGTATGAGAACAAAAGGTCTGAGTTTTTATTTGGAGCAGATCAAAAAGAGACACAGTCTCTGTATCTTTCCTTAGAAATTATACTATTATAGAATCATAGAATCATAGAATGGCTAGGGTTGGAAAGGATCTTAAGATCTTAGAATCACAGAATGCTTTGGGTTGGAAGGGATCATCTAGTTCCAACCCCCCTGCCATGGGCAGGGACGCCTCACCCTAGGCCATGTTGTCCAAGGCTACATCCAGCCTAGCCTTGAACATTGCCAGGGATGGAGCATTTACCACTTCTTTGAGCAACTTGTTCCACTGTCTCACTACTCTCACAGTAAAGAACTTCTCCCTAATGTCTAATCTAAATATCCCCTCTTTCAGTTTAAAACCATTCCCCCTTCTCTGATCACTACATGGCCTTGTAAAAAGTCCCTCTCCAGATTCCTTGTAGACCCTTTAGGCACTGGAAGTATGTTATAAAGTTGTCTGTGCTTCAGAAAATCATATGCTTCAGAAAATGTCATGTGAAGCATGTAAGACACAATCAAGGTTTAACTTGGCAACAGCACCACATTTTTAAATGTGCTGTCTTCTGATCGTAAGTATTTTCAGAAATAAATCATGCTCTGAAAGCTTATCAAATAAAATATGTTTAATCCTTTTGCACACATTTTCAATTAAAAGATCCTGTTGTAAACCAGATGTGTTCTTCTGTCTTGGAAAAAAAAAAAGCAAAAAAAAAGCAGATTTAGAAATAGCTATTTTCTGTTTAGATACAGGTCTGCATGCACAGATTTCTGATTCCCAAAATCTCTTGTAAAGGGACTTCCAGAGGTCCCTTTCAACCTAAACTAGTGTACACTAAAAAAAGAGACAGGTTTTAGTAAATTAATTGATCATTTACATGCTTTCAATTTAGAAAATTCGTATTTTTAATAAATAGGAGTTTCATTGCTTGATATTTATAAACATATTTTTTACATGTTTGCAAAAACTTGCATAAAACTACAAAGGGATATGCAGATTATGGTAACAGATAATGGAAATTATAAAATATCTTAATTTCAGATCATAGTGCTTTATCTTTGTTTTCCCTTCATCAGTGTTAAGCAGGCAAATTCCTTTAGGTGTGGGCCAAATCTTGAAATAATGAGAAAGCTGATCTGCAAGATGCTGTTTTTCAAATGAAATGATACTGAAGAGCTATTGTACAACATACTGAGAGACAGCTGTTTGTTTTGTTGTTTGGGTTTTTTTTTTTTGTTTATTTGTTTGTTTTTAATTAGGGGATTAAAAATAATAAAAATTGATTTCTAGGGGAAGTTGACCTACCTGTACCCAAGGTTGTGGCAGTCAATTTAAAAACGTGAGTAGTATCCAGGCATTATTACGCAACACAACCATAAACAAAACCATTAAAACCTTACTTATATGAGTGATACTACAGCATGGTACAGTACCTCATTCCTCATGAGTAAAACTGAATGCTAAACAATTTTTTTTCCCCTAATAAATGATGATGTGTAGGTTGTTTATACTTGAGTCTTTAAGCCCTAGAAAGAATTGCTTCATCTCTAGAGAAGGAATATTAGTCAAAGAGCTACGGTTCACAGCAGTTTGGCTGCCAGTATATTCCATTTCTAATGACTTCTGTTCTTCCTTATCAGCCTAGCATAGCCAGAACCACTCACTTGTTATTTACAGAGCACAGTTTGGATTGCATCAAAGAGAGCTTCCACTCATCAAGCTGTTTCCTGGTATTAATTTAGCTCTTCCTCCCTACATCTGTAGCTAAAGCCAGTCTCTGTAGTGCTTAAACTGAAGTCTGAAAATAAGTCAAATATCTTTGAGACTCGGTGAAAAATTTGTATTTGGGTTTTGGTTTTGTTTTTGTTTTTTTAAAACATGAGACTTACCTGAAGGGCAATACAAGGGATACTTGGAGACTTCTGGTAACTAATGATTCCCAAAGCATTGAGTCTGAATAGCAATGCTGTACACCAGTAGCAAGTTCAGTTTCAAGGTGGGTGGCTTGGTATAAACAATATTTGCGAAGGGACAGTGTTCTGCCTACCTGTGTTCAAGGCTGAGCAGGTCTAAGAGCTGTTTTGGCTGGAATGTGGTTTCAGCAGTCTCTCAGTCTAGTCCAACTGTTCTGCTTTGGCTGGATTCATGCACTCACTGATGGCTTCTAAGTCACTTTTATCCAGATAATAAGAGGCTGTGAACAGGAATCATTGACTCAGTGGATGCTCAAGGCTCTCAAATGCTGAAATACAGACAGCTAGAAGCTAGACCTCACACAACTTTTCCAAAGTTCCCAGCTCTTGGGGAGCAATTTCACAAGTCTTAGGTTAATCTGTGACTATCCTACCCCTGATGAAGGCATGACCCTCTCCTCACTTCACCTGCAACTTTGCCAGCTCTGCATGGCCAGACTGCACCATAAGTAGTATCAATTTACTAATTAAGGTGAACAGCAAAGAGAGAAAGAAAAAACAAAAAACAAAACAAACCAGCCTGCAACTGACTTTTCACATGACAAAAAGCATAGCTGATAGCCCTCTTGGGTGTCCTGTGTACGTGTATTTGCAACAGTACATGTTAGGTCCCATTTGTAAGTTTTCAGCTGTGTTAGCCAGACAACAAGCGTTATGCAACTAAGATACTATGCATTCTTGCATGAAAACTGCATTTATATAATAGTATTAGACTGATGGGAATTTAATGGGGAATTTAATGAGATTAGAAGGTGATTGCTGTAACTCTTGTAGCTTTGTCTAAGAAGTTAATATTTATTATCTGTGATTAAACCTGTGCATTGCTTTTCTTAAATGCTTCTATTTTGTTTCTGTTTCTAAGATTAATGGAAACTCTCTTCCTAGATAATCCTTTTGTAGCTCTCTGTGTTGGTCTTATAGCTATCTGTTTTTTAATCCTAACCAAAAATTTACACTTCAGCTTAACTTCAAAGTGCCTGTAAAAGTATTAGTGAGTAAAACATGTCCTTTGAAAATGATGATCAATTATATTATTCAACAAAGTGTACAGGCTACTGAAGTAAATAGCCTGTTTAGAATTTTTTACCTTGCTGATTTCATTATTTGTAATTTTTATAGAAGCATGGCAAAAGATGTACAGTTTATTGCCATAGCCATCATTCTGTGAAAAAGAGGAACAAAAATAATTTCATTTTTTGCATCAGAACACCTCTTTTATGACTTGAAGTGACTATCAAGAAAAAAAAAAAAAAAAAAGCAGTCCCATGTGAATAAGTCTCTGTTTTTCATAAAGCTATTTTAAAATAAGAGTATTTTTAAAGAAAGGGACTATCCGCTATCACACAGATGTTGAAAAATATTTCTACCATTCAATTTTACTCAGCCTTTGTCTGATACAAATAACCCCAAGTTCTCACAGCAGTTCAAGTAATAAAAGAAAAATTTACCAGTATGTGTTGCAAGTTATTCTCCAGTCAATGTATCTGTGGATAACTAGAGTAACAGTGTCCACTGCTGGCAAATCAGATAACTGCACTGCACATTAAACCAACA